TCTCTCTCCCCTTCCTCTCCCCCCCTTTCCTCTCCCCCCCTTTCCTCTTCCCCCCTTTCCTCTCCCCCCCTTCCTCTCCCCCCTTCCTCTCCCCCCCTTTCCTCTCCCCCCCTTCCTCTCCCCCCCTTCCTCTTCCCCCCTCTCCTCTCCCCCATTTTCCTCTCCCCCCCTTCCTCTTCCCCCCTCTCCCCTCCCCCCTTTTCCTCTCTTCCCCCCTCCTCTCCCCCCTTTTCCCACCCCTCACTCACCTCTGCCCCACCTCCACCAACACCCACACGGACTCGAGCACCATGGGCCACCAGTACAGACGCAATAACGTAATGCCCGTGAGGGTGGTCCAGGGCTGTCGGGGCTTAGAACCGCCGGGACGAGGGCCGTAATGGGCCTAACAAGTAGCGGCAGCAGCAGCAGCAGCAGCAGCAGCAGCAACGGGATGCGATGAGGGTGGCAAAGGAGGCGGAGGCGGCGAGGGGTGGGGAGTGGGGAGGGGAGGGTAAGGCAGATTACTGGTTCGGCTCGACGAGGTTCACGTCTTGCCACGCCATTTTTCGCTCGGTCGCAACTACAAGGTTGGAAACTATATCGTGCTTGCCGTACCATGGTGCGGATCGTGGGCGCGCACCTTCACTTCCTGGTAGGTGCGCTCGAAGGCGGCCGCGAGGGTGTGTGGGTCATCGCTGTTTGGCATCAACCATTCGACATCGTTCTCTTCTAGAGGACGGGAGGCTGCAAGATTCAGAATTGGATTGACGTATGAAAAGAAGAGTTTGGATACCCATGATACATTCGAGTAATTTTTCGTGTTCAGCGGTTCTGAGCACGTTGGCGCTCCATCAGCTGCTCCCGCCATTTGGTCGCGTACGCTGTTGCTGGCCAAAAATGGCGCCTGGTAACAGCCCTTGCGATTGATTTAGCCGTCAACCCAAATGGAGTGATATCATTGAAATCCAAATTACATAACGCATTAGCAAAAGAGCGTTAGGAAATGTATCAAATTTCAGATACAATCCAACAACATAGAAATTATAAAATTTCAACACATATTCTGCAAAACTGTATCGCTACCAACGTTCTAGCCACACAACTAAGCTAGTACGACAGCCGGCAGAGCGCTGAAATCGAAACGATAACCCAGCAGCAAGCAATTACAACAGAAAAAAATCTGCAATTCAAGGCTTTCGATAATGTGGGCATGGTCGGAAGACCTGACCCCTGGGTCATTTAACAACAGGTTCGTCCCCACGAATAGCGAGCTCTCAAATTAATGCCAGTATGATGGCATACCTTATGCACATTGCGCTGAATTTGGATTAAAGCCTCCTCCCAGCATTTCATCCGATGCCTCACTCCGCGTGCAGCCCTGTTCGCTAATGTGCTACCTTCGTGATTTCGCTTGGCTACATAGTGTGACCGAAAGATGTCCTGGCTGGGGTCCTGACGGCATGAATGCAGCCGAAATGGCACGCTGCAAGTGTTATATTGGTTACGGGATACGGCTGGGTAGCTAGGCTAGCTACTGCCCTTCAGCAGCCACACACTGCCGTTCTCAGCCATCGGCCATTCCTGACCGCCTTGGACGCTGTTGGAGCGATGTTGCGCTTCCGAACAATTTCGTCCGTCTTTTTTTGTTTCGTCAACGGCGGCTTGGTGCAGCGGCCCCGTGGAAGACTGCACCCGGCACTGGCCAGTGATTAGAAGTGCGAGAAGTCACGAGACGGTGGGGGACAAGCCCGAGCATCGCGTTTTCTGTGATCGGTAGAGAAGCGGCGAACGGGGTTGTTTCCTGTCGCAATCAATGCCAGGGATGTATAGTGGCCTGGAACTTGTGTCCAAGCCGATTGGTGCACTTGTATGCTTGCCCTGTGCTGCGCTGTGCAATTTTGGTATTACAATTACACAGCATTTTGGTTTAAAAATTACACAGCGCAGCACAGTGCAGCCCTTTGTATGCTTGCACGGCTGCGCAGCAACGCTGCAACGCTGCAACGCTGCAACGCAGCAAACATCGACCCTTGGGCCGTAAAGCGACCAAGACATGTGCACCGCCCAGATGAGCCCGATGAAACTGGGTTATGTTGCCATAGCTCAGAGAGGTAGCATAATTAGATGGGCTCTATCCCGCTGGCATGAATTTCCTGGAACGTGGAAGCCAAGGATACTGTATTTGCTCGAGCATACTTCAATATAAAAGATAGCTTTCAAGAGCTTTACGACAGGTCAAATATTTCATAGTCCGCTTCGAATTTTATGCATAACCTTAACGCAGACGCAGTTTCTTTCGACTATTTCGTGCTCCGGACTGAAAGGAATATAATACGCAAAACGTTTCACGCGCGACTAGTTATTGAATGTACAGAAAATTCACACAGTAGGCGGCCGTCTTGCATCCTTCATAAAGCATCCTGGCACGTGGAACCTGTTGAAGACCCTGTTTCCCGAGCCCTTTAATCCTAATTTGCCAAGCAATGCGCGATTTCCATTTCTCTATTGATCGGGGTGGGACTTTCACGGATGTCTTTGCCGAGGTATGCCGAATGCCATGCTGGTCCAATGATGCAGAACCTTCCCTTCACCATCGCAATCCTCTTCCCATCATGCGGCGTTGATCAGGTTCCCGATGGAAAGGGCGGCAGCATATTCAAGTAAGTCCATTGCCCAAGCGCCTGGCAGTAGCCCTGCCATAGGGCTCATACTTGTTGGGTCACGCACCCACGTGATGGGAGTTTCTTCCAAGCGCAACTGCTCACCGCACCAAACATTTCGTGCTGGCCTGCAGGGTTCTTAAGCTTCTTTCAGTGGATCCTGCTAACTACCCAGATGCTCCTCGCGAGGGCATCCGACGGGTATTGGAGGAGGTGACAGGTGCGCGAATGCGTGTACTGGTGCCTCACGACGACGCTAGTGCCGCAACCCCTATCCAACCTGCGCAACTCCCTGACCCACCCGTCCCTTCTCCCACGCGGGTCTGTGCTTTCTTCCCCTTGACGCCTTTCCCCCTCCTCTCTCTCCCCCCCTCTAATGCACTCAGGAATTCCCCACCCACGACACGCGCCGCTGGACACCTCCCGCATCGCCTCTATCCGCATGGGAACCACCGTCGCCACCAATGCGCTGCTGGAGCGGAAGGGGGAGAGGGCGGCGCTGGCGGTGACGGCTGGATTCCCGGACTTGTTGCACATTGCGAACCAGGTGGG